TATTTTGATCCGCTTCTCAACTTGCATTATCCTCACCAGTCACCAACATTACTAGGAAAAAGCTACTCAATATATTTCTAAAAGGCAAAATCCGTCAGTGGTGATTGGCAGCAGCAATTAAGGTGAAGGTTGCACTTAGTTTATGAATTAAGAACTATGGTTTTACCTGGAAGCTGAATCGAGAAGCTCATCTTGTAAATGTTTAAGTTGCTCCATATCTTCCTGTTTCCTATTCCAACGCAAATCTGCTCGCTTTCGCAAACAAAGAGGAAATATACATTTCAAATGTCCCAGCTACTACTACCCATGGGTTAAAGAAAGACGAAACCACAGAAGCAAGAATAACGAATGTGACATAAGAAGAAGAGGAATAAAGGACCAAAACTTTTAGCACCCATGAAAGCTTTTATCGAACAATAGAAATTGCACACATCTCTAGAATGAAAATACCTTAGAAAGAACACCCAGCCCTGAACAAGGTGCATCCAGCAAGACTTTATCCCATTCTACAACCTTATCGGTCTGCCAAAAGTTAAACCAGGGATTAGCAGTTGGAAATTAATATACCATATTTTTTTTTACAACTTGCAAGTTCTTACAGAAAAAGTTCGAAGATCAACATGAATAGTACTGATGACATCAATAACTTGGTGCAATTTGGCTGTCTCTTTGAGTATCCGCAACCAACCTTCATTTATGTCAACGGCAAATAATGTACCTGACAAACAAGTAAAGCACTGGAGTGTAGCGTTAAACGGTCAACAAACATAACTTTCATACATAAGAAAAGGTTAATGACCAGAATTGTTGGCAACACTATGCATATAACTATTTACATAATCCACAGTTGAAAATGCTGAAAATATGCAATGCTTTAACAAGGCTAAGTCACCAATGAAAAATAGTTGTAAGAAAAGGCTTTATCCAGTTGTAAAACAAAACTATGACGAGCCATCTTGATTCTGAAACTCTCAAAAATAGGAAAAAAGATATTACAAAGCAACGAACCTGGTAGCTTTTGATTGAGTTACTTTTAGGCAACAGCAACAACATAATACCCAAATGCGATCCCACAAGTGGGGTCTGGGGAGGGTGGGATGTACTCAAACCTTACCCCTACCTTGTGTGAGGTAAAGAGGTATTTCCGATAGACCGTCGGCTCAAGAAAAGTGTTTTCAAAACAAGTTTGAAAAATACAAGAGTAAAAAAAGCTAAGATGGAAATACTGAAGAAAAGAAAAGCATTGCCAGCAGAAGTTACTTTTCGGCACCAACAATTAATAAATGTAATTAGTGATGGACAAGGGAATATGGTGTTGTATAGCAGATACCATGATTGTCTACATTTCCAGGACAGGCATCCTCACCTACGTTTTATTTCATTACTGAAAACACAAATTTAAATTCTGCATGTGCTATGCTCCTGTTAGAGGATCTTGCCTTTAGCTAGCTACCAAAATATGTAATAGGACAATATTTTCCATGTAATTTCAGCTCTAAAAGCTATCATCTGTCAGCTATGATGAGCAAGGTTTGTATGAAGGTTACCTTGGCCATTCAAGCGGGAAGCCATGAACAAGGTTTTCCCTCCTGGAGCAGCACAACATTCAATAATGTTCTCACCAGGTTGAGGATCAACAATAGAGACTACTAATCCTGCAGTAATTAGGGTTATTAGGAGAATGATACACATCCTTTTTCACTATTTATGATATTTGCACAAGTTTCAAACTCGAGTATAAACAAATGCATTATCACAATGAGGCCATCGAATTTGGAATATGAGATACAAGTCAATGACCAACAAAATACCAATCCATTTTTCAAGTAACTGGACATTATTTTTCACAGTATATAACTTGTAAAAGGAAGGGGAGACACTCTGACAAGGAGTGTGGATCAAATTAAGCAAATCATCGTAGCAAATTTTGAACAAATGGAAAGTAAAGATGGAATTTTCTTTTTCTTCGCGATGATATGTGATACAGTTCATTGAACATCCCTGTGAGTAATAACTCAATTTCTCGATTATGATCCTTGGAACATAGATATGTGAATGGTCCAAGTTATCCAAAAGAAGCTGAACTCTCCTTCCTTAATCGTGTTGCCTAGGAGAGCATATAAAAACAACTCTGTGTTGTCAAAGCTTTCTTAAATTGGTACTACTCCCCCTGCCCGCTGAAGGAATAGTTGTATATCAAACCAAGGTTCAAAGGATAACTGAAAATGAAAGAAGGATTTTCTTAAACAAACTCGCTAGAACTTAAACCAAATCCATATGATTAAACCCAAGCATCATTTTATCTCCAACCAGAGTTATGAATCAATGACAGAACTCACAGTATGGATGAAGAAATATACATCATTGAAACACTGAAACTTCCAAACATGAATTTAGAAAATTTATTCGACACAACCATGGTTGTACAGGACATTTTGCTAAAATATCATACTTAGATCTTCTAAGACAAACGATTAAAAAAGTAACAGTTCAAACGTACAACTGGATGAGAGTAAAGAGTGGCAAGACCACGTGCTTGCTGACGAGCATCACCGTCCACTTTTACTGCTGGAAGGGAATCGCTCTCCTGCAGACATGAAAAAATAAATGTCAGGGAACCAGTAGATATTGGGCAGCCTCTGCTATCTACAGGCAACGCCAATGAAGTAATCAGGGTGAGAAATCAAGTCCTTAGGGAGGTGATCACTGAAAAAACAAATCGACAAGAGAATCAAGTTATAGATCGAATTTTGCCAAGGCTTAAAACTTAGGCTGACCAAGTTGAAGAAGATGAAGATGACGATTTCAGTGATTTCAATGCTACTGAAGATGAAGAATGTAATGAGGAATCACTGCATTCAGCTGGTTCACCAAATGTACCAAAAACCGGAATATCACCAAGCTCAAGTGTTAAAAGCAAACTCAACTCTAATGCGCCAGCTTTTGTTCCCAAAACTGCCTCAGGTGGCGTTGCAAATGTGCAGATTCATAACGCCAAACATTCTGCTGTTATAACATCAACTAAGGAGCCTCGAATTTCAGATCAAGACAGACAACTTATTGATGCTCTGGAGACCCCAAAACTCAACAAATTGGCACTATCAGCTGGTTCAAAGACACTTGCACACGGGCAGAAAATTCCAGGTAATCAACTCAACAGAATTGTTCAATTGCAGGAGTTACCTTTTGGCAATGTTACAAAAACACAAGAATCGGGTGGATTGATGAAACAAGAGATTGTTAATCAACGTCTACAAGGCAATTTAGGTGTGTGTTCATTCAACACACACATTGCATTCAATATTGTGAGAATTCAACATAATTTGACAATTTTTATGTGGTGAAATTAACCTACACTTCAATTATTAACACACAACAAAAAATAAGATATAATTTGACTAGTGATGAAGCTAATATAGAAGACAACTAATAAAAACAGAAAATCAAGACTCAATAACCAGTATAACTCCCAAAGAGTAACTACTTTCCACAGTAGGAAGAAGGAAATTTTGAGAGCAAAAGAAACCAACCTGCAGCTTTGAGGAAGAGGGTTTTGATAACTACTGAAACAGTTGTGCATAAACGATAATATAGCCTTTGGGGAAGAGGGTTTTGATAACTATTCCCAAACGATAAAGGAAATTTTGAGAGCAAAAGAAACCAACCTGCAGCATAAACAATAATACTTATTTTCAACTCAAGAATATGAAATTAAGATAAAATTGAAAACTTTTATAGCCAAATATTAAACAAAAGAATCACTTATGTAATCCCAATAATCAGAAATTGAAAAAGAGCAAAACTTTGAGTATAAAATAAAGACTATACAAAGCCCAGTAATTATACAAAAACATATTACTTCTATCAACCCCATTGATAAGAACCTAGACAAACTAAAGCTTTAACTATGAGATCGAAGACTATACAAAAATATCAAAAATTAAACAAAAAATATTACTTTTATTTCAGCCCAACAATCTGAAATTAGTAAAAAATTAAAAACTTTGATACCCAAAAATTAAACAAAACAAAATTACTTCTTTTTAGCCCAAGAATCTGAAATTAGAAAAAGTTCAAAACTTTGAGTATAAAACAAAGATTGTACCAAGATACCCAAATATTGTACACAATAGAATATTATTTTTTCATCCCCATTAGTAAGAAACTAGAAAATTTGAATCTTAAATTATAAGAACAAAACTAAAAATTGGAAAAAAACAAAAAAGTTTTGAGCAAAAGAAATACTTACCAATAGAGAAAAGGATGAAGATTTGCTATGGGTGAGAGTAATCTGGAAGACAGAAGCAATGAATGTATAAATAAAATAGGTTAAGGGAGGCAGTGAAGGTGAAGGTCAAGTAGCGGCAGATTAGAGAAAAGAATTGGGAAAAGTTTTCCCAGTAGTCTTATTTGGGCGATGATTTCTGTATTGGGAGGAAATATTTTCATTAAAATTTGGAGCAAAATTTATAAGATATTTTTAGACTACGCATATAAAGAGTTACAATATTATTAAGTAGTTTAATAATATGAGCACTCTTCAAAAATATTGCATTATGATTAGTAAGCGTTGCCACATAAGTTGTGTATTGGCAACATTTAAAAAGTGTGGTCTTTATATTTTAAGAGCACGCTTTTTAAGGGTGGCCTTAAAAACCGTGGCCGAAGACTCTAATTAAAGGCCACACTTATGAAGTGTATCTATTGATATTTTTGGCAACACTTTTCAAGCGTGGTTTATAATTAGTGTGGTTGTAGGCCTAAAATGTTGTAGTGCTTGTTGGTTAATTCTTGCTAACTCTGTTGATACATATATATTGAGTTATTATATAATTATCGTTTAGTATATTGTTTTGTTTGTGGTGTGTTTGTATTTTCTAACACTTGTTGCAGAGGTATTCGAAGTGGCAGGTCAAGGATCTTACTGGGTTATATTTATGTATAACTCACTCCTTACCTGCATCTCAATGCAGATACTATTGATGACGATAGAGCTGGTGGCTGAAGAGTTTGTTCGGGCCGATTCTGTAGCTGAGGTGAGCCACCACATTGTTCGTGGAGGCTGTCACTATAACTTTATCTAGTTTGTGTTAGTTATTTCCTTCTCTTTTGGGGTTTGCATACCCGTCAGTTAAAATCATGTCACTCTTTTAGATGCTCCATGATTTTAGTGTGAGATTTGAGTTAGCGTATTATTATATGAGTGACTGTTAGTTTTTTTTAATCAATTGACTAAGCTATTGGTTAGTAACTATCTCGTTTTTAGTTATTAATAATTCTCTTAGACCTACACTTATTGTTCTCTCAGTAACGGTGTAAATGGTTTTACGTATGAGAAATGGGTTCGCATGGCAGGTGGTGTTAGCTGGGTGCCAGTTACGTCTAGGGGGCGGTTTGGGACGTAACAGTTTGGTAGGGTGTATAAGAACAATATTGGTGTACTAGTAATGTTGAAATTAGTTATGCTGAGATTTTATTATGCTGGAATTATTTTTTATCGACTATTGATTTTGTATATTAAAGGTTTTGAAAGGGCAGTTACGTCTTTATACATACTTATCCATATATTAAAAATCATAGTATTACTAATGTCATTATTTTATATGTATAAGAATAGTACTAAATAAAGTGTATAACTAATATTAGTTACACATAGGTGCAAAAATACTACTCCCTCTGGTCCACTTTAGTTGAGTTCTTTGGATGTTTTCACACATATTAAGGAATCCACCTTTTAACATTAATTAACAATGAAATTAACCATATTAACCTTAATTTGTTCATTGAAAATATAAAAATATTATTAGGCTCTTTACTCCAAGGGCAACTTTAATGGAAAAAAGAAGTTAATTCATTCTTAATATCTGAAAAAATCAAATATTGTGGACCACAAAAAAAAGGTAAAATAATTAATTAAAGTGAACCAGAGAAAATAGCAAACAAGAGATTAATAATACCAAAACTAACACATATATTATTTTTCATAATACATCCTATCACCCCCCCCCCCCTAGTGTTATGATTTTTTTTTTTCTTCTTCTTAGTGTTATGATGGACCAAGCTTGTAAAAGGAGTAGATAGGGGCGGGTAACTCCAACCAATTTTTCGAATTCTATATTTGTAGGATATTTTTTGAGATTTAATAATATGAGATCATATCCTCTAAAGTAATCCGTGTATTACTAACAAATATTTTTGTGTTATTTATTGCAGATTTTCTCAAATAAGTTATAAAACTAAACTAATATGTGTTAAATCACAAAATCAAATTTCCGCTAAAGCGTACTAGAAAATAATCTCATATTTTCTTACCCGCACCGGGTGTTTATACCAAACTATATTAATTCACCATGGTTAATTAATTTAATTAGATGAGAATGCATATAATTTACCATGGTTAAATGATTGAAGTCCATATGCAAGACACATGTCATGTATTTATTGGTTTGGTGTAAACACCCCGTGTGGGTAAGTATTTACCGTTCAGACAGTACAAGCTCATGGACCATCGTTGTTATTCTTATTGGATTTTTCCTGAAAATATAAGCCCAAACCTTAAATAACATGCCAAAAATAAAAACTACGAAATAGTATTTTGAAAAAATTACAATTTTTTCTAAATAAATGTCCTGTTTGTCTAAAATGTCGATTTTGCTTTCGATCTCGGTTTAATTTATTTAGTTACTACCAAATAAAATTAAATTTATTGAGTTTACTCCTTTCAATACCAAATCCAATCAAATCAAAGCATAAATTGCCTATTTCTTTTCGGAAAATATATTTGGCCAAACCGAGAATGGCCCAAGCGTCCCAAATGGGGGTATAATGGTAACTTCGCACGGCTTTTGAGGGCATAATAGATATTTGTACATTTTCGTTTTCCATGTATACCCTTTGGCAGATTTTTCGTTTTAAATTAATTTTTTTTAACAATTCTCTCTCACTAATTTAATTGTCTTACCTTCTCAAGATGCATGCTTCATCAATTTCTATAAAGCACATATACATATACTATACTAATTAAACGAAATACACTAAAATTTACATATACTATACCAATTAATCGAAATACACTAAAATATACAGATAATATATTAGAGGAAATACGCTTAAAAATTAGAAAAGATACGTATAAAAATTAAACTACTAAAGTGGTCACTTTCTAACCCTAAACACATAATATATTTGGCCGAACCTAAAAAGCTTTTCCAGCCCCCTTTTTTCTATCTTTGTTTTCTCCTTCTTCGTCTCTTATCTTTCTTAGGGTTAGATTAAGGAATGGACCACAGGAAGAGGAATAATGCTTCGAAAGTTTATGTAGTGTTTCGTGGTAAGAGGCCTGGATTGTACAACTCTTGGCATCAGTATGCTCCTATGGTTATTGGTGTCAAGGGCAGCATCTTCAAGGCCTTCAAAACGTATGATGAAGCCATAGCAGCTTTTAATGAGTTTAGAAATGGATCTCAAGCTGATAATATATCGGCATCGAAGGTGTATGTGGTATTTCGTGGTAAAAAGCCAGGATTATACAACTCTTGGTGTGAGTGTACTCCCTTGGTTATAGGTTTCAAAGGAAGCATCTTCAAGTCTTACAAATCTTATGATGAAGCAGTAGCAGCATTCAATGAATTCCAAAAAGAAAATGTTTACAGTGAAGAACAATCTTCAAGTTCGTGTGTTGACGAAAGTGCTATGTCATCTGTGTTGTTAGCTGGAATGTTTGTAGGGATGAAAATTTCAAAAAATTGTTCAGTTTGATTATTGTTTATTTTGGTTATTATCAGTTTGATTGTTTAGTTTGATGTGTTACTGGTTGCTGCATTTAATCTCTGTAGAATAGATGCCAAAGCCTTTGTCTTTTGTACTCCATGTTGGAATGAAATAAGAATATAATTTTTTTTAAAAATATTTTGAAATGAACTGAATGTTTTTATTTGTCTATATTGCTGGAACCTTGTAAGTGCCAAAGTGTTATCATTTTGAACTTGTTTTAATCCCTGCTACATTGATTCATAAGCACTCAACTATCTTCAAGTACTCATCAACTATCTCCATGAGTTCAGTATGTGCTATATTTTGCATCTTGAAGTACTAAACTATCTTCATAATTATTGACAATACATTTTCCTATTGTCCAGTGTTGTTGTCATAAGTTGAATGTGCTATATTAATTTGGAAAATAAATTGACCAATTTTAGAGTACTTAATTAATCTTTACAAATGTTATTATTAGTACTTTCATTTCATTAGGCATCAAACGAACAGTTGGAATATTGAAGACAATAGGACTGTTTTGTTAACTTTAATCAAATGATCATTATGCCTCGCTGTTTTTAGAAGGGTTTTCTATACCCTTTTGTTGTATCATCAAACTCTATTCTTGCTAATACAAGACCCCAGGTAATCTGGAAAAAGTTCATAAAAAAATATAAAATATAAAAAAGATTCAAAACATAATAATAATAATAATAGTTTCCTTTATTAATACGACATTGGGTGATAACATCACCAATACATAACTTGAAAAATAAAAACATCAACATAGGGGCCGAGGTAGAAAACTTCATAGACGAACAAACACATAATAAAAAAGAAATGAAATAAATCTTCATAATTGTCACGACCCATTTTTCATAATAGGTCATGATGGCGCCTAACACCATGGTCAGGCCAGCCGAATGCGGAAGTGTGATTTAGTTCTCATTTTACTTTAGCCAAAGGCAGTGATACTAAAAAATTTCAAATTTAAAGATAAAACTAGTAAATATCATAAAGTGCCAAAATAGCGATACAACCCCAAAATGAATGTCTACTACAGTGTGTGCCAGGACCTGGTGTCACAAGCTACGGGCGACCAGTAGAATATACACAAAAGAATGAAACACTATCCTATTGTCTGAATCAGGGTAGACAAAAATCAAAAATACAAGAAAGGACTCCTTCCGCTGCGAATCGGCATGAGAGGGAAGGCAGCTCACCGTAGAAGTCCCTAAGCGTGCTCACTGATGTGCACCAGGATGATGTCCAGATCCACCTGCCTCAAATTCTGTACAATTAAGTACAGAAGTGTAGCATGAGTACATAAACCACATGTACTCAGTAAGTATCCCGTCTAATCTCGAAGAAGTAGAGACGAGAGGTCGACTTGATACTTACTAAGGTCAAGATAATATAATATAATAAAGTGAGATATACAGCATGAAGGATCTCCAATAACACACGTTTAATAGAAGAGTCATATTCATGTTCTTGTCATAATTAAATTACCAGCTTTCCCTTTTTATATCAAATGAGTGATCATGTCATAACTAAACGTAAGCATATAAATCATGCACAAACATGCCGAGGTCGACGGCCCGCTCCAACAGAAAATAAATTGTGCACTGCCGAGGGTCGAGCGGCACGATCCATAGATGCATCTATTATCACCTAGGCGACCGGCCCGATCCATAATCATCAAGAAAATATCAAGAAA